ATGATCACCAACATTTATTAAGTCCTGACTCATATACTATGAGTCAGACACTGTCTTAAGCACTTTATATCTCTTAACTCACTTAAAGCTAACAACCTATGAGGAAGATACTATTCTTAGCCACGTTTTACAGATGAGAAAATCGGAGGCCTGGGAATATTCAGAAATTTGTCCAAGGACACACAGTTTGTAGGTGGCAGAGCTGAGATTTGAACTCCGGGAATGTGTCCATGTGGCCTGTACTCTTACCTGCATTTGTCTCTTAGACATCTGCAAATGCACTGGCTTCTATCCTCTACCGCTACCTCAGGCTGGGTCCCTGAGTTCAGAGCTCCACCGTCTCCCCTCATACACACAGACTTGATGCTTTTTTCCCCTGCCCACCCTCTTGTACCCCCTGGGTCCCAGCCATGTCTTGGCCACTAGAGGGCGTGAGGAACAGAAACTCGGGGACTGCACAGCCATCCCGCCAGGGCTGGGAGAGGGGCTGATAGGGAGCAGAGGCTCTGAGGAGCCAGGAGGCAGTTGGAAGAGGGCTCTCTGGGTTCTGAGGACAAAGGGAAGGGGTGAGCACCAGCCAGTGAGGTGGATTTGAATGCAGACGCGGTGCTTGGCAGGCAGGCAGCTTCTGCTGGGAGATCCCATCTCATATATTTACATCTTATAATATTTATTTATTGCTATCTAAAAGTCGAGTGTTCCAATGAAGCCTTTCATAAGCCAGAAGGGCATAAGGCGGAGAAGCAGTTATAGTTAATTTATATGGAAAAAATGTTGAGCATTACCAGGCTCAAAATACAACCCCTCTTAGGCTCTTCTAATACCTTAGGAACCTCTTCCTGGTGATACACAAAACAAATGGAGATAAAGCACAGATGCTCAGAGACACTTCAAAGCTGCAGGGCCTGATGCTGAGATGCTGAGTGTGGTTCCCAGGGAAGGGGCTTGGCGGGGCCGCTCTCAGTGCCTTTATAACCCCTTGTTGCCAAACAAATGCTGAATGCTATTTTCACTCTTCGCCTTTTTTTTCCCCCCATAAAAGTGAAAATCCTTTTTGGATTTCTTTTGGTTAGCGAAAGCAGAAGATGCCTGTAATTTCCCCTCCCTACAAGGCAGTGGGGGAGTTGGCCGGGCCTAGGATGCAGTGTGGTGCTGGGTGGGAAACCAACTTCCAGCCCCTCCAGGCTCTGCACAATCTGGTTTCCCCAGAGCCAGGCTTTCAGAAGGGGCAGCGAGGAGGCTCTACTGTTACCCCCGTTCTCCCCAGCACCAAATCTGCCCTATTTATCCCCTGTGCCTGATATTCTAACAAGGAGACGTTTGGGTCTCTTACTTAAGCTGGAGATCTGAATGATGTACAGATTACCATGAACGGATGGTCAGAATTTCTGTTTGGATAGTGCAGTGAGATTTAGATGAGACAGGGACATCAGGAGAAAATTTTAAGGCGTCTTCACTCTGTTCAATATAACCTCATATTTACCGGTGACAAATTTGCTGTTTTGAAGAGTTGAATACTAATTAGAACGCATAGTCAAATAAATTATATTACTTTTATTTTTATTTATTTATTTATTTATTTATTTATTTATTATTTATTTTTGAGACAGGAGAGACAGAGCATGAACAGGGGAGGGTCACAGAGAGGGAGACACAGAATCCGAAACAGGCTCCAGGCTCTGAGCTGTCAGCACAGAGCCTGACGCGGGGCTCGAACTCAAACTCACGGATCGCGAGATCATGACCTGAGTCAAAGTCGGCCGCCTAACCGACTGAGCCACCCAGGCACCCCAATTACATTACTTTTAAATTGTGACTTGAGCTATGAGCATGGAGGTTTGTTTTGTTTGTTATCCTGGGGGTCTAGAACAGTATACATTATTTAATTGAAATAAAGATTTCATGAATGTGTCATTTTCACTTTAAAGAGAAAGTCTTGCCTATTTATTTGTGTAAATAGAATGCGTACTCTTCCTTAACAATGATGATATTTTATTAAGCAGCTCATTTAAGCCCAGAGCTCTGTTCAATTTACCTAGAAGATTCCAGGGACCTGTTAACTCTCAGAGACATCTGTGGTGATGTGGACAGAGTGCTGGGCTGGGAATCAGAGACCTCACTTTTCCTTGTGAAACACTCTCTCCCTTGTGTATGCTGTTGGACACTCCTCTGAGCTGTCAGTTTCCTCATCTGTAAAAAGGTCATTACTGATTTTGCAAAATCAGGGCTGTCGTGGGGATTACAAGATGAACACTGGTTGCCAGGCAAAGCTCAGGTTTTAGATTAATCTAATCCTTCTCTGCTCCTTTATGTGGGCTGCTGAACATGCTGGAGCAAAAACCATCCAACCGTGTGTGCTGCTGGAGACTACAGACTTCTGAAAGCCAATCTCATCTGGACCCGTTGGGCTCTCCACTTGCAAAGCCTATTGCATATTCTCATTTTACTCTCCTACAACAATTATTCTAATCCTTGGCTGTATTTAAAATTCTCACTATCCCTGGGGCTCCTGGGTGGCTCGGTTGGTTGGGCGACCGACTTCGGCTCAGGTCATGATCTCACGGTCCGTGAGTTCGAGCCCCGCGTCGGGCTCCGTGCTGACAGCTTGGAGCCTGGAGCCTGTTTCAGATTCTGTGTCTCTCTCTCTGCCCCTTCCCCGCTCATGTTCTGTCTCTATCAAAAAATGAATAAACATTAAAAAAAAATTTTTTAATAAAAATAAAAAAAATTTCTCAATATCCCTTTCCTCTAAGAGTTAGTTTTGTTTTCAATTATACAGAAAAAACAAACACACCCGGATATAAAAAACCAAAGCCATGTAAAAAAAGAATCTATAGCATGTTACCAATTCTTAAAGAAAAAAAGCATGGAAAAAAGACTGGAGTGAAATATGCCAGGATGTAATCAATGGAGTTTGTTCCTTCATACTTCTCTATGCTTTTCAAGTGTTCTGTTGTAACACATATTACATTATGTCTGCAAAGTAATGGAAAAATTATGAAACAGAAAAACTACAGTTTGAGGAGCTACCACCCACCTGTTGACTTCTCCCCCACCCCCTTCTCCCCTATCCTGTTCCTAGCTGGAATTAAGGGGTCTCTCTCTCTCCCCATCTAGTGCTAATGTGATCATCTATGCTGTTAATTCCATATTCTCTTGACTTCTCAAGGATCGTGCATTGGTGTCAGATAAACCTTTCCCTCCACATTTAACCTCCCCTTCCTTTTTAGTCTGTTTTTGTCAGTATATAAATATGCTTAGTCCCCTCCAGTCTTAGCAAATGCATGACATTCTCCAAGTCCAAACTCTACCTTAATCCCACTCTTACCCTAGACCCACACCCATTTTTCCTTTTGTAGCCCAAGTTCTGGAAAGAGTCTGAATCTGGCTTCTTCCTTCACAACACCCTTAACATTGCTCTTGCCAAGATCTCTCGTGACATATTTGTCTCATTTCAGTCTTCACCTTGCTCTCTTCTTCATACTTGGCTCAAATACAAATACTGCCACTTCTGTGAAGCCCTCCCTGATTTCTCCCAGAGAAGGCTCACATGCTTCTTTTCCAGTATTCTTCCTGCCTTTTGTCTAATTGTTTTATTGTAGTCTAATTTGTTTATTTTTATTTTAGATTATGAGGTTCTTGGGGCAGGCAATATAGCTTTTCTCTTAGCTTTTAAAAAAGCTATGAAACATAATGCACACAGAAATATGTGAATCAAAATTGAGAGATAATGAATAATCATAAAGTGAACATTTGTGTCACTATTACCCAGGGCATGGAATGGCATGTTTTCAGTATTCCAGGAGCACCCTGTATCCTTTCCTGACCCCACCTGTTCCCCCTACTATCTTGGATTTATGACCCTTACTTTCTCGGTTTTCTTCGTAGTGGCGCTGCCTATATATGTATTCCTAAACAAAGCATTCAGTTCTATCTGCACTTGAACTTTTTACAGATGCCCTCATGTCATGTGTTCTGTTTTGTTTCTTTCATCGAACATTGCATGTGTATGATCCATCCTCATAGTTGAGCATTGTCATGACCTTCACTTTTGTTGCTGTAGAGTGGCCTTTCATCATATGAATTTATAACATGCAATGTATCTATTAATGGACATTTGGTTTATTTCCAGTTTTTGGCTATTATGATGCATCAGATTTCTTGTACACTTCTTTTTTTAAATGTGTATTTATTTATTTTTGAGAAAGAGAGAGAAAGAATGTGTACACAAACAGGGGAGGGGCAGAGAGGGAGGGAGAGAGAGAATCCCAAGCAGTTTCTATGCTGTCAGCGCAGAGCCTGACGAGGGGCCCAATTCCATGAACTGTGAGATCATGACCTGAGCCGAAATCAAGAGTCAGAGCTTAACTGACTGAGCCACTCAGGCTCCCCTCTGGTACACTTCTTTTGATCCCCATGTGCCTGAGTTTCCTTAGGGTATAGATCCAGGATTGTCACAGGATGGGTGTATCTTCAATTCTACCAGATAATGGCGAACTGTTCTCAAAGTAGCTGTCACAGTTTACATCCCACCAGCTGTGCAGAGAGTGACCACTGCTCTATGACTTCGCCAACATGTGGTAGCATCGGCCTTTTAAATTTTTATTGACACAATTGGTGCAGAGTAGTATTTTACTATGGTTTTAACTTGTATTTCCCTCTTAGCAATGAGGGTGAGCACCTTCATGTGTTTGTTGGTCAGCTGGATTTCCTCTTTAGTGAAGGGCCTGTTCACGTTTCGTTCACTTTTTCAGTGGGTTGCTTGTCTTTATTTTATTGATTTGTAAAAGTTATTTTACGTTCTGGATATGTGTCCTTTGTTGGTTGTATGTGTTGAAAACAAATTATACTATAAAATCATACACATTGAAGATTTATTGATTACGGGATTTTTTTTTTCCTCAGTGCTAATCAGTAAGTAGGAACAGGAGTAATTAGAAAACAAATTACAGTGTACGTTAACCTTCAGAGTAATCCTGTCCTTCCCTTCTTCTCTCTAGGTGTTATTATTGTCCCCAGTGCCGGTGTGGGGATTGTCCTGGGAGGCTACATTATAAAAAAACTGAAACTTGGTGCAAGAGAATCTGCGAAACTAGCCATGATCTGCAGTGGTGTATCCTTACTGTGTTTTTCCACCCTGTTTATCGTTGGATGTGAAAGTATTAATCTAGGGGGCATAAACATCCCATATACAACAGGGTAAGTATCCTGAAAGAGCCATTTTGTATCGTCCTGATCATGAGTTGAGTGCAAAGCCCTGTAGTGTTGGTACCCAGGGCTGGACCGTCTCCTGCTCTAGGCGGGTCTCCTGTGCACGTTTCGTCTCCTGGGGAGGGGGCGCGGGGGGGGGGCATGCACTCGTGGAAGGCAGCGGCACTGGTCCCTCCTTGGTCCATGCCCTTTTTGACCCTCACAGAGTGTCTCCTAGTATTTTGGTTATAACAGATGAGGAGGAGATGCTTGTTGGGTTAAAGGAAATGGTTCTTCTTTTTTTTTTTTTTTTTAAATGTTTATTTATTTTTGAGAGAGACAGAGACAGAATGTGAGTGGGTTAGGGGCAGAGAGAGAGGGAGACACAGAAGCAGAAGCAGCCTCCAGGCTCTGGGCTGTCAGCACAGAGCCCGACGCGGGGCTCAAACTCACGAGCTGTGAGATCATGACCTGAGCCGAAGTCGGACGCTCAACCGACTGAGCCACCCAGGCGCCCCAAGAAATGGTTCTTCTTTATAACGCAATGTTTTGAGTCGCTAATATGTTCACATAGTCGAAGAACATAAAGCTCAGTGGCAATGTAACGGGAAAGAAAAGTCTTGCTCTTACCCAAGTCCTCCACCTCATCTCCCCCGCCCCGGTCAGAGACAAACGAGGCAGGCACTTTAATTCATTTCTTACATGTCCTGCCAAGGCTTCTTTATCGAAGAGACTATGAACATGTATTTAAAGTTTTACCTGTGTTATAGCCAAAAGGTAGCATTCTATATATGCTTTCCCAGCTTTAAAAAATATATGACAATATAGCTTGGAGATCTTTCTGTGCCAGTAATAATAATACAGAGCCTAGGCTACCCTTATATCGACACTTTCTGATGCTTTACTCATTAATCCTCATGACAACCCTATCAGGTAGGTTCTATGATAATCTTGGTTTTACAGATGGCAAAACTGAGGTACAGAACACACGTACTGGGGGTAATGCTGATAATATGTAACACACAGCTAAGAAAAAAGTTCCAACCTGTAGCATTTGCCGATTTCGGAGATTTGACTATCCCCACTGACGCTGATTGCAAGCTAACCGCGTGAAGATACTGAACACCAAGCTGGGAGGAGATGCCCAGTCACGTACCATTATATAATATTTCTATCAAAGAGGTATTTAGACTTAAAGAGCCTGGTGAAGACGTAGAGAGTAGTATAATAAAATAATTAGGAGGCAATGAATTGAGTATTTATTATCTTTGTATTATTTATTTAACTGTAAGTTTATATAACTTAACTTAAAAAAAATTTTTTTTTAACGTTTATTTATTTTTGAGACAGAGAGAGACAGAGCATGAACGGAGGAGGGTCAGAGAGAGGGAGACACAGAATCTGAAACAGGCTCCAGGCTCTGAGCTGTCAGCACAGAGCCTGACGCGGGGCTTGAACTCATGGACCATGAGATCATGACCTGAGCCGAAGTCGGCCACTTAACTGACTGAGCCACCCAGGCGCCCCTATATAACTTAACTTTTAATAATGGCTACGCTAAACAAGCAGATGACTAAATCCTTGAAAATTGAAGATTTTATGACCCAGGGTGGCTGTGCTGGATGTTACATCAAACTTAATTCAGACTTCACCCCAGAGAATTCAGAGTCCGTGCCGTTAGCACTCCTTTTAACTGCTATGTAACATTCCATTTAATTCTGTTTTGTAATTTAACCAGTCCCCATTTGACAGGCGGTTTCCAATCTTTAGTCATTAAAAATAATGCTGCAAAAAATAATCTCATGCCTATATCACTTCTCCTGTGTGCCATGTATTTGTAGGATAGATTCCCAGAAATGAGATTGCATTGAATATTGCCTCCCCAGGTGTTGTATAAATTTGTACCCTTACCAGCAATGGATCTGAGGGTCAGTTTCCCACACCCTGTCCAAAGGAAGGTGGAAAATTCTTCTTTGAGAGTTATGAAAACCATGACTTATATTTCTTGAGCACATTGGGGTTATTAGAATCTACTTATTGGACAGAATTTCAGTGCCTAGATTTTGGTGCTTGGTATCAACGAGCACCGTATCCTTTTGATTTTCAGTGGAGTTTTATCTTATAAAATGTTCCACTTGAACTTTGAACAAGAAGAGCTTTAATTTCACTTAGCCAACCTAGAATATCAGAAAGAAAAAAGGAGGAACTGCCAATCAGAGCTTATTTGGATGACAGAATATGGTCACTTGTCTCAGGAGTCTTTTTTTCACCAAGAGATGTGGGTCTGGGCAATGCACATACTGATACACAACTTCTTTTCCGTGCCTATTACAATGGCATAGGAAATAAAGTCTTCAAAAATTTAAGGGCAGTTTAGAATAGGAGCCCAGATTCTTGAGTTAAAGCTGAATTTGTATCTTCACTCTGCTTGGCCAGTTGCTTAACTGTAAGCCTCAGTATCCTTATCTGTAAAAGAGGGTGATGATAATAATGCCTTAGTTCCTTCAGGTGTAACAGAGTATCATAGACTGGGTGGTTTAGAAACAACAGAAATTTATTGCTCACGGTTCTGGAGGCCGGGAAGTCCGTGATCAAGGTGCCGGCAGATTCGGTGTCTTATGAGGCTCCCCTCCTTGATTCATGAATGGTGGTCTTTTCTCTGTGTCCTCATATGGTGGAAGGGGTAGGGCATCTCTCTAGAGTCCTTTTCATAAGGGCACTCATCCCATTCATGAGGGCTCCAACCTCATGGCCTAATCACCTCCCCAAGGCCCAACCTCCAAATATCATCACACTGGGGGTTAGTTTTCAACCTATGAATGCTATGGGGACCCAGACATTTCATCTACAGCAATAAGAATCACCTTAGAGGCTGCAGGCGGGGACAGCATGAGTAGCACGTGTAAAGCTCTCACCTTGGTGCCTGGCACACAGTAAGCGCTCACTGGAAGTTAGCTATTGTTATCAGTCATCACAAATACTCTTCTGGTGTTTACCTCTGTATTTTCAAGACATAATGTGTAAATTAACCAAATTGAGACATTATGTATGACTTCCTATCTTGATAAATGAGGAGTTCAGTTTTCCACTCATATATTGTGGTCAAATCCTTCTTGGATATTCTTATGTTTGATCCTGCCAGTATTATTAACTGCTGAGGCACAAGCAGTATGTCATGATTAGATTTCTTCTTGTGTACAACGTTGATTTTCCTGGAATTCATAATTGTTTTATTTTCATTTCCTTTGTTCTCTCTGAATGTGTCTGGCTTCCTACATTCTCTAAGGGCTCAAAATATCTCACTGTGATTTTTCTCCTGTCTGATAACCTCCTGATTCCATTTCCCACCCCTTGGAGTCATCTAATCAGAGTCCTAGCTGCGCCTAGTCGGCTCCCTGGAATCCCCTTTGCCTCTGTATGGATCCTTTGTTCCTCTGAGCTCACATGCCTCTTCCTTGGCTCGTCCCTCATTTTGTGAGAGCACATCCCTTAGTAGCTACAGGAAGGCTATAAAGGCTGTAACTTTTTTTTTTCTGAATATTGTTCATGAAATAGCTTTTTAAAAAAAAGCTGTTATATTTGATTGCCAAGTTGGCTGGGTAAAGAATTTTAGATTGGATGAATCATTTTCACTCAATTTTATTACTCCATTGTCATCTAATTTCTCATGCTATTGTGGAAAATCTGGCCTTTCTTTCTCCCAGTCTTTTGTATGTACCCTATTTTTTCTTTCTAGGAGCTTTCAGTTTACTCCTGGTGTTCCTGAATTTCATCATGATATACTTTGGAGTGGGTTTCCACCCCTCCCACCCCCTGCTCCGAGCACTTAAGTGAGCTTTTAATGTCTGGAAACTATGTCCTTCAGTTTTGTTTTTATTTTTTACTTAAATTTTGATATTTTTTCCTCACCATTTTTTCTCTTCTCTCTCCTTCATTGATTCTCTACTCTTCTTTATCACCTATATTGTATAAAACACTTTTTTTGTGCTACTTTTGGAAAGATTTCTTCAGCTCTATTTTTTTCAGTCTTCTGCTAAATCTTTATTTTGAATATTGTATTTTTTCAAAAGTTATTTATTTTTGAGAGAGAGAGAGAGAGAGAGTGCACAAGAGGGGCAGAGAGAGAGAGAAAATCCCAAGCAGGCTCCGCACTGTCAGCAGAGCCCAACGTGAGGCTTGAACTCACGAACTCACGAACTGCAGGATTATCACCTAAGCTGAACCAATTCAGCCACCCAGGTGCCCCTGTATTTTTAACATCCAAATTTTTTATTGTTTTTTTTTTTTTGCTTCTAGTCCTCTTGCTTCATAGGTGGAATCCCTCCTCTTACTTCTCCAACATTATTTAGAGTTTGTTTTCCTTCCTGAATTGTCTATGTCCTCCGAGTGCCTGCTTTCTATTTATTTTGCTGTCCTGATTATGTTGGAAGCTTCCCTTACATTTCTGGTGATCCTTAGCTTTCTCTTAGTTTTGAAGAACATGCGTTTAAAAAGCTAGGTCGGTGCTCTGGTCTGACAGTAGAGCTTGTCATTTGGTGGATCTCACCGTAGGTAATGGGAGATGGGGAGCTGGCATTTTCATTGGGGTAATGCATGTCAGAACTTGAGGCCTTACCTCTGGAGTGCTCTGGCTGCTCAGGAGAAGGGTTTTCCTGTTTCTCGGCTGGAGCTGTGTTGGGATAGATTCAGGGTTGTAAGCCTAGCTTCTGGTGTTCTAGAGCTGGGAGTGGGATGGTGGTGGGAAGGGGCCTGGGTCCTTCTGTTCATTCTGTAGACTTTTACCTAATTCCCCTGCCATCATTCTAGCATCTCACCAAAGGTCTTCTTTATATGTGATGCTCTTACGTCCGTAGACTTTGGTTTATTTTCTCCAGAAAATAAAGTCATGAGGGAAGAAGTAGTCATCCACTAACTAGAGTGGGGATGGAAATCTGCTTAAAATTGTACATTTAGACCACAGCTTACTTGTGTTGTCTGTCCTTGAGTTCTTTTTTTTTTTTTTTTAAAGT